GCCCTTCGACGGCCCAAGACGGCGCCATGACGGCCCCAACACACCCACCACACGGCCAAGAGGGCCCCAAGACGGCCCAAGAGTGCCTCACGCCAGCGTAAGAAGGCCCGAAGATGACCCAAGAGGACCCTAAGGAACCACCAAGACTGTCTCACACAAGGCCGAGACAGCCCCACGACGGCCCAAACGAGTTTCACCATCATAATCATCAGTATCATCCTCATCCTCATCCTCATCGTCCTCCTCCTTCTCCTCATCCTCCTCCTCCTCATCCTCCTCATCCTCCTCCTTATCATCATCATCATCATCATCATCATCATCATCATCATCATCATCATCATCATCATCATCATCATCATCATCACCATCATCACCACCACCACCCCCGGCAGCAGCAGCAGTATCACCATCATCGTCGTCATCATCATCATCATCATCATCATCATCATCGGCAACAGCAGAAGCATCATCATCCACATCAGTATCAGCATCAGCATCATCATCATCATCACCATCACCATCATCATCAGCAGCACCAGCGTCATCATCATGAGCAGCATACGTAGCAGCAGCCGCAGCAGCAGAAGCATCAGCATCAGCAGCATCATCATCCTTAGCATCATCATCATGAGGACATCATCATCAAAATCAGCATCATCATCATCACCATCATCCTCCTAATCAGCATCATCATCATCATCATCATCATCATCATCATCATCATCATCCTATACAGCATCAACATCATCATCATCATCATCATCATCATCATCATCATCATCATCACCATCATCATCATCATCATCACCATCATCAAAGCACTCGTCTTCCTCCTCCAATTCCTCCACCTCATCATGACCGTCATCAGACCATCACCATCAGCATCATCATACTCCTTCTCCTCCTACTCATCGTAACAAACAGCATCAGCCTCATCGTCCTCATCATCCTCACCATCCCCATCATCAGAACCATCATCATCAGCATCAGCATCAGCATCACCATCATCAGCATCATCATCCTAATCAGCATCATCATCAGCATCATCATCATAATCAGCATCAACATCAGCATCATCATCATCATCATCACCATCAGCATCATCACCATCATCAAAACACTCGTCATCCTCCTCCTCCACCTCATCATGACCGTCATCAGACCATCATCATCATCATCGTCATACTCCTTCTCCTCCTACTCATCGTGATAAACAGCATCAGCCTCCTCATCGTCCTCATCATCCTCACCATCCCCATCATCATAACCATCATCATCAGCATCAGCATCAGCATCACCATCATCAGCAGCATCATCAGCACAAGCAGCATCACCTCCACCACCTCAACACACTCATCACCACCAGCATCATCATCACCACCATCATCATCACCATCATCATCACCACCACCATTATCGTCATCATCACCACCATCCTCATCGCCACCACCATCACCACCAGCAGCATCATCAGCATCATACTAATCATCACCAGCATCACCACCACCATCAGCACCACCACCATCACCACCACCATCATCGTCACTACAATCCTCAGCACCACCACCGCCATTATCACCACCACCAACACCAACACCACCATCATCGTCACCATCACCGTCAACAGCATCACCACCACCACCCCAAGCAGCAGCAGCAGCAGTATCACCATCATCGTCGTCACCATCACCCTCATCATCAGCAGCAGAAGCATCATCATCCGCATCAGCATCAGCATCAGCATCATCGCCATCATCATCGTCATCAACACCACCACCACCGTCATCATCAGCATCATTATCGTCATCAGCATCGCGTTCACCATCAACATCGTCACCAACATCATCAGCATCAGCATCATCAGCATCACCACCAAAATCATCCCACCACCACCACCATCACCAACACCATCACCATCATCGTCAACATCATCATAACCATTATCTTTATCATCCTCAGCAGCAGCATCATCAGCAGCACCATCATCATCACCACCATCATCATCACCACCACCACCATCATCATCGTCATGATCACCACCATCCTCATCACCACCACCACCATCACCTTCAGCATCATCAGCATCATATTCATCATCACCATCATCACCACCACCATCAGCACCACCACCATCACCACCACCATCATCGTCACTACCATCCTCACCACCACCACCGCCATTATCACCACCACAAACACCAAGACCACAATCATCGTCACCATCATCGTCAACATCATCACCACCACCACCCCCAGCAGCAGCAGCAGCAGCGGCAGTATCACCATCATCGTCGTCACAATCATCATCAGCAGCAGCAGAAGCATCATCATCCGCATCAACATCAGCATCAGCATCATCGTCATCACCATCGTCATCAACACCATCACCACCACCACCATCATCAGCATCGTCATCATCGCCATCAGCATCGCCTTCACCATCAACATCGTCACCAACATCATCATCATCATCATCATCATCATCATCATCATCATAATCAGCATCATCAGTATCACCACCAAAACCATCCCACCACCACCACCACCATCCCCATCATCGTCAACATCATCATAATCAATATCATCATCAGCAGCAGCATCAGCACCATCATCACCATCATCATCATCATCATCAGCATCATCATCGACATCATCATTATTATTATCAGCAGCCGCAGCATCATCACCCTGACGCTGGTTCTCCCAAACCTGGGGACACGAAATGTCACACGAGACGGCCGCCCGTGCCCCCTCGAACAATCGCCACCCAGAAAATTGGGCTGGCACGGTGGTGGGACTTGCCGCAGGCAGCTAGATGACTAACTCCTCCCTGTCGCGCCCCCCCAGGGGTGTCGGTAAGGCGGGTCAGGCGTTTCGCCTGGGACGTCCTCACGAGGTGTGTGTGTGTGTGTGTGTCTGTGATCCCTAAGCTTGAAATTCGCAACTGTTATTAAAAGTGGAGGGCAGGTTGTTTTTTTGAAGACGTGACTGCCGCGCTAGCGCCCAGAACATTCGTCTCAGAAGTGTTTCAACTTGGCAACAGCTTCAAGGATAGAGGGCGTGCGATTCAGAAGCGCTGCGCAGGTTCGCTCAGAAGTTTGCAACTTGACAACAGCTTCAGAAATGGGTGGCGTGCGGTCTGCGAAAGGCGCCGCGAATCTTCGGCTCAATCGTCGACAGCTGCTTCAAATATAGGAGCGGCTGCCTCTCAGAGCGCGGGCCGCGCCACGGCGCCACGCACACCCGCCTGCAAAGGTGGCAGCAGCTTCGAGGGTGGAGGGGAGGGACTTTTCAAGATGTGGCAGTCGCCCCAACGCCGAGCACACTCGCCTTGAAAGTGGGAAGAGCCAGGGGCTCCCCACTTCGCGCTTCGCGCTCCGCGAAGCGCGAGAGCGCGAATAACTTCGCGCTCTCGCGCCGCTCCCCGAAAGGGAGAAAAGGAGGACGAGGAGGAGGGGGCGAAGGAACGAGGACCGCGAAGCGCGAAGCGCGAATAACTTCGCGCCCTCGAGGGAGCCCTTGAAGAGCGTATGGGATGCATGGGGGCCGCGCACATTCGCTAAAACTTTGCAGCGGCTTCAAGGATGCAGCACAGGCCGTTTGCAGACTGTGGTTCTCGCATTTCGCCGCACACATCCGCCTCAAAAACTTGGAACCTTTCGAAGTATAGAGGGTGGATCTTTCTCACAGTGGGTCTCTCGCTTGGGACGTCCTCAGCGTTGAAGGCCCGAAACTTCAACACGCGTAGCTCTGCACGGATCGAGGGCGGCTCCTATTCAAAATGTAGTTTTTCGCTTGGGACCCGCTTGAAGTTCTTGATCGGACGTGTAAACTCCTACAGCAGCTACACCTCGATTCCGTGCATGAGCATAGCTGCTCGCATCCTGGATTACGCACCGGAGGAAGGCAACACTAATCATGTTCAAAAAGGGCCCTCTCCGCGCTTTTGTGATGCTGGTCCTTCAAAGGGGGCGCCTCTTGTAGTGGACATGAAATCTTGTGCGGGCGTATAAGGCGGGGAAGTGGGACGATGTATCTTTGGTGTACTCTGACCCTCCTCAACTTCCCTCGTCCTCCTTCCCCTCTCACCTCCTCCTCCTCCTCCTCCTCCTCCACCTCCTCCTCCTCCTCATCATCATCATCATCATCACCACCACCACCGTCATCATCATCGTAATCATCACCACCACCTTCATCATCATAATAATTGGCATCAACAGCATCACCACCACCACCACCACCATCATCATCATCATCATCATCATCATCATCATCATCATCATCATCATCATATTCATCCTCATCCTCATCCTCATCATCACCATCATCATCGGCAGCATCATCATCAGCACCATCAGCATCCTCCTCTTTCCTCCTGCCCCTCTTTCCTCTTGCCCCTCCCTCCTCCCCCTCTCCTCCTCATCATCCTCACTCTTATCCTCCTCCTAATCCCCATTTTCATCATCCTTCTTCTCCTTCTTTTCCTCCTCCTCAACCTATTATCCTCCTCCTCCTAATCCTCCTCCTCCTACTCCTCCTCCTCCTCCTCCCCCTCTTCCTCCTCCCCCTCCTCCTCCTCCTCCCCCTCCTCCCCCTCCCCGCCATCCGTCCCGCCCTTGATGCTTGGCGCCCCTGCTGCTAGATCCTGCGTGTTTCTGCCAGCAGCTAGCGATTGCCGCACCAAGCTGACCGCCCCCTCGGCGAATCAGGACGCAATTCCAAAATTCCCGCCCTCCTTCCCCTCCCTCCCTCCATCCCTCCCTGTTTCTCTTCCGTTTCGAGAGGGGGTGGTCGGCGGTGGACAAACCTCCCTTTAGTAAAAACGGCCTGGGACCGAAACCGACGGACCTGGACCCGCAAAAATGAAGGCCGCGACGCCCTCTCGCGAACCGAAAACGGCCAATTCACTCATCGACGTGTCAGGGTAGGAGGTCTGTCCACCCCCGAGGTGGGGGTGGCCGCGAGAGGGGGAAGCAGGCGCGCTCCCACGGCGCACCGGCCTGCGCCTTGGACTTGTGCTGACTGGGCACGCCCTCGGCGGTTGGCCGACTGCACGCCATGTCGTCGTCGTCGTCGTCGTCTTCCTCCTCCTTCTCCTCATCCTCCTCCTCCTCCCCTCCTCCTTCTCCTTCTCCTTCTCCTTCTGCTCCACCTGCTCCTCCTCCTCTTCCTCCTCCTCCTCCTCCTCCTCCTCCTCCTCCTCCATGAGGCAATGAGGCAATGACGGGAATGGAGTTCTCCGAACGCTACCGCTCCTCCTCCTCCTCCTCCTCCTCCTCCTCCTCCTCCTACTCCTCCTCCTCCTCGTCCTCCTCCTCCTCCTCCTCCTCCTCCTCCTCCTCCTCCTCCTCCATCTGCTTCCTCAAAGATGTGCTGTTTCACCGAATCTGCAGGGTGGGCCCTTTCCCAAATCCGTGCTCTGGTGCGGATCTTCTTCGAGCCTCATCTCCGTCGTCGTCGTCGGCGGCGGCGTCGTCGTGGTCGTGGTGCGTGTTGCTTTGCTCGGGACATTTTCCTGATGCAGTGACCATCACCACCCTCCTCCTGCTCCTGCTTCTCCTCCTTTCTCCGTCCTGCTTCCTCCTTCCATCTTCCCCCTTCATCATTCCTCATCTTCATAAGTCTCCTCCTTCACCTTTTCCACTCAATAGCATCCCTTCTCCGCTTCCTCATCCTTCTCCCATCATCATCATCAACATCATCATCATCATCATCATCAGCATCATCATCATCATCATCATCATCATCATCATCATCATCATCATCATCATCATCATCATCATCATCATCATCATCATCATCATCATCATCAGCATCATCATCAGCAGCATCATCATCGTAATCATCATCCTCCTCATCATCATCATCACATCATCATCACATCATCAGCATCATCATCATCATCAGCATCATCATCATCATCATCATCATCATCATCATCATCATCATCATCATCTTCACCATTTCATCATCATCAGCATCATCAAGCATCATCATCATCATCATCATCAGCAGCAGCAGCAGCAGCATCATCATCATCATCATCATCATCATCATCATCATCATCATCATCATCATCATCATCATCATCATCATCATCATCATCATCATCATCATCATCATCATCATCATCATCATCATCATCATCATCATCATCATCATCATCATCATCATCATCATCATCATCATCATCATCATCATCATCATCATCATCATCATCATCATCTTCATCTTCATCTTCATCTTCATCTTCATCTTCATCGTCATTTTCATCTTCCTCATCATCATCAGTAGCATCACCATCCTCCTCATCCTCATCAGCAGCAGCGGCATCAGCATCATCATCCTAATATTCATCCTCATACTGATCCTCGATATCGATCTTCTGATCGTCCTCATCCTCCTCCTCCACCTCCACCTCCTCCTCCTCCTCCTCCTCATCACCACCACCACCACCACCATCATCATCATCATCATCATCATCATCATCATCATCATCATCATCATCAACATCACCATCACCACCACCACCACCACCATCATCATCATCATCATCAGCATCATCAGAATCAACATCAGCATCAGCATCAGCATCAACATCAGCATCATCATCATCATCATAATCATAATCAGCATCATCGTCATCACCTTCATCATCTGCATCATCATCATCATCATCAGCAGCAGCAGCATCAGCAGCAACATCGGCATCAGCATCAGCATCAGCATCAGCAGCATCATCATAAACATCACCAACACCATCACCATCACCATCACCATCACCATCACCATCACCATCATCATCATCATCATCATCATCATCAGCAGCATCATCATCATCTTCATCAGCAGCAGCAGCATCTTCACCAGCAGCATCATCAAACTCATCGTCGCCGTTTTCCTCCTCCAATTCCTCCTCTTCCTCCTCCTCCTTCTCCTCCTCCTCCCTCTCCTCCTCCTCCTCATCATCATCACGATCATCATCATCATCATCATCATCATCATCATCATCATCGTCATCATCATCAGCATCATCATCAACGTCACCATCAGCATCATAATAACCATCATCATCAGTATATCATTAGCATCGTCAACATAATCATCAACCTATCCATCCTCTTACTCCTCTTCATTCGCCGTTTCTTCTTGCTCTTCCTCCTTCTCCTTCTCATGATCCTCTCCTCCACATGTTGCTCCTCCTTCTCCTCCTCGTCCTCAGATTCCTCCTCCTTCTCATCATACGGCTCATCTGCCGCCCCCTCATTCCCCACCCACGTCTTCCGTCCATTCTCCATCCTCCGTCTCCTCCTCCTCCTCCGTGTCCTCCTCCATCTCCTCCTCCTCATCCGTCCCCGCCTCCTCCCTTCCCCCTCCCCATCCGCGTCCCCCTCCCCTCCTCCGCTTCTTCCTCCTCCTCCTCCTCCTCCTCCTCCTCCTCCTCCTCAGTAGCTCTCGACACAGGTGCCGCCTACGGAGACGGGCGGTGGGGGCTGCGGGTCGAACCGCGAGGGAGATCGGTTTCACGTCGCGCGAACTGTTGATCCCAGGGCGGCTCTCGCCGAGGCCCCTGACGTCGCGGGGCATGTAGCAGCAGGAGCAACTGGGATGGTATTCCCCCAGGTGGCAAGAGATGTGCATTTTTGGACTGGGGGCATCATCGGCATCGCGGGCCAGCGCGGGGATGGTTTTCCCCCAGGTGGTCAGAGATGTGCACTCCTCTGGACTGGGGGCATCGTCTTCTTTGAGGGCTCGTGCACGGGCGGACAGCGGGGGCCGCGGGTCGATCCGCGATGGGGGATCGGCCTAACCTCGAGCGAACCGCTGATCCCGAAGCGGCTCTCGCCAGGGCCCCTGCCGTCTCGGAGCTTGGAGCAGCAGCGGTCGCGGGGCAAGTATTCCTCCGGGCGGCCAGAGATGTGCGTTCCTCTGGGCTGGGGGCGTCAGCGACATCGAGGGCCTTTGCAGGGTTCGACGCAGGGGGCTGCGCGTCGACCCGCGAGGAAGGCCGGCTTAGCTACGCGCGCCGGCCACGAGCGGCCCTAGCCAGAGCCGTCGTCGAGCAGGCAGCAGCTGATGGTAGCGCGCAAGTCCCCGCCTCCAAGTGCACCCGAGAGGTGAACCGCGCGAGGGGCTGGGCTCAGTCACTGGATGTTCTGCCAGGGTTTGCCCCCAGGCGCACCCGCGAGGTAAACAGCGAGAGGGGCAGGGCGATGTCGCCAAGTTTTGCTGGGGCTGGCCCTGCCGATGCTGGTGCCGTGTTTGGCGGGTCTTCTGCGGTGCCCGCGGGCCCTCCGAGTGCCGCGGGCCCTCGGGCCGCCGTCGGCGCGAGGCTGGGAGAGCGCGCCGTTGCTGGTGGGGCGACGCGGGCGGGTCCGCAGTTGACTGGAGGGGCGGCGCGTTGGTCTGGGCGAGGCGGGGGGCAGCTCTTTGAGCACCCCGCAGCCTCGCCCCCGAGCCAGGGGCAGCCGCGCGACCGTCCCAGCGGGCGACGCCAGAGATCGATGGGCACGGCTGGTTCGGAGAAGCGAACCATTTCACTTGCCGAGTGTTGTTCCAATCCTCCATCTTCATTCACTTCCTCCGCCTTCTCCCCCGTCGGCTCAACTCCCAGCCTGCCAGCGACCATGTGCTCCTTTTAGGCGACCCACACGGTGGTACCATCCGTGCCACCCCCACTCCGCCGCCCACGCTCCACCACCCCTCCCGCCCGCCTCCCTGGCCCCTCCCGACGCGGCACGGTGGTGGACGTGTGCGGCAGTGCAACAAAACGATCGCAACGCTGCGCAGACAATGGGCAGTCGTAGCGCCGAGGGGAGCTCAAACTGTTTGCGCTGCTCAGACATGAACTGCACAGCCGCTGCGCCCATGAACCAACGTAGGCGGCGTGGCCCCGTCAGACAAAAAAGGCATGCGTGAGCCCACACTGAAATGCTGTAAATAGGAAAAACAGCTATCCTGGCGAAGGACCTAATCATATGCAATTGTGAGCACCGTCGTTGCGGGTATTGCCTTCGGGGGATCTCCTCATGGGGTCATGTGCCGATGTGGGGCGGGGCCGCCATGTGGGCGCTGCTGCTGGGGCGTTACACGGAACCCACTATGGGGCCACGAAGCGCTGTACTGGGTGGGGGACCCGCATGCGGACACCGCCAAGGTGCATTCGGTGGAGCTCCCTGTGGGGCCACGAAGCGCTGTACTGGGTGGGGGGAACGCATACTAGTGCAACCACTGGGGCCTTCGGTGGAGCTCCCTACGGGGCCACGAGAAGCAGTACTGGGTGGGGGAACCGCATGCGGACACCGCCACTGGGGCCTTCGGTGGAGCCCCCTCTGGGGCCACTAAACGCTGTACTGGGTGGGGGACCCTGGGGGAATCGCATGCGAGTGCAGCTACTGGGACCTTCGGTGGAGCTCCCGATGGTGGCACGAAAAGCTGTACTGAGTGGGGGAACCGCATGCGAGTGCAGCCACTGGGCCCTTCGGTGGAGCTCCCTATGGGGCCCCGAAACGCCATACAGGGTGGGGGAACCGCATGCGAGTGCAGCCACTGGGGCCTTCGGTGGAGCTCCCTGGCTCCCTATGGGGCCACGAAGCGCTGTAACGAGGGGGGGAGACGCATACTGATGAGGGCAGAGACAAAGAGGGGAAGGAGGGAGGAGGGAGGAGGGGGGAGGAGGAAGGAGGAGAGGAGGCGCGGGGTGCTGTCTCCTCAAAACGGGGACCCAACACCACAGGATGGTTGGGGCAAACGAAATGTATAGGAAGATTAGCCAGCAGAGTGGAGCTCAGACTCGCTCGCCTTCTCGCCGCCACTGCCCCAGCAGCCAGTGCGCGGCCGAGGGACCGAGTGCTGGCGCTGACGAAGAGAAAGCTTGTGCTCCAACGCTGACGTCGGCCCTCGCCTCAGCTAGGTAACGCCTCTGCTTCCCACAGAACTTGCGGATGGCCTACCCCTGGCCCGTCATCCGACGCGGCTGCCGCGGCCGCCACAGAAGTGCGATGGGCGTCCGACAGCGAGGGCGCACCTTCCTCGGCGGAGTGGGCCGTCGGGCTCCTGTCGGCGACGAGCGGGCGAGTGGGGGTCGGTGCGTTCCCCTTTGATCGGGTCGGACGAAAGGTGGGGTAGTAAAGTAGGAAACCGCGCTTTATACACCGACGTGTTTGCGCGGCCCTGCACGGATTTTTGCGCAAGAAAGCAAAACCTGGTGTATACGGGACCCTGGTGTATACAGTTTCCAAAATGTTTCCTGTGAGAACAGGGAGCAAGTATACACGACACCGCCCCGACGTCGTCCCCGACCCTCAAAAAGTCCTGGGATTGGAAGACGGCCCGCCCGCCACTGGTAATGTATAGGCTCCAGTTTCCGATGAGGGGGGGGTAGCGAAGCAGCTCACGCGGCTGGTTCCCCTGGCGCCTCTCAAGGCGCCTGAGACGCCCATGTGTCGAGGCAGGCGCTCGGCGGCGGGACGGAGACCAGCTGCATGCTGCAGATGTCGTTACACCCCTCTCCCAGAGCATCACTCCGTTTACTTATGGATTGGATGCCATGACACTGGACACTCCAACAATCGTATCGTTGAATTAAAGATGTGTTTAAAATGTGTAAAACACGTTGTTTTAAAAAGTGTTTAGAACATGTTGTTTTACACATGTTTAAAGCATGTTTGAAACATATTTTAGAGATCTGGAAACAATTTGGCAGCATGCTTCCTCTCCATTAACCGACTTCCACAACCATTTACGTCTGGCCCGACCGGAGCCGATCCCCCCGGGTCCTTCCCCTCGCGCCTCGGCCTGGGGACAGCCCGACGGCTCTCCACCATCCCCGCTTGGGAAGGGGCCCCCAAACAGCGGGGCTGCGCTCCACCACGCACGCTGTTGCACAACGGGCCCGGCTCAAGGAGGGGAAGCAGGAGGGAGGGTGGGAGGGAGCACGCAGAGAACTGGAAGGCGGAGGCGAGGCGACATGACATCCGAACCTCACCCCCAACAACCATCAATTCTCGTGAATCGATGGGAGGTGGCGGTAGGGTTCGAATCTCGCCACGTGTTCGACGAGTTCCGAGCCCTACCACCCCCGCCGCCCATCGAGTTGCCTGCATTGTTGATCGGCGAGGGTAGGGTTCGGGTGTAGCCGCCGACCAACCTGGCCACGTAGGCGCTAGCAACCGCCCTGATCCTTCCCTCACTCCTTCCCTCCCTCGCTGGCTGATCCGCGGCTCCACCACCCCGCCCAGGTGGCCGCTAGGGCCGGGAGCGGTCGACGAGAAGAATCGAAGAGAAGGAGGAGGAGGAGGAGGAGGAGGAGGAGGAGGAGGAGGAGGATCGAGGATCAAGAACCGAGGAGAAAGAGGAGGAGGAGGACGACGACGACGACGACGATCGAAGATCGAAGAGGGAAATCGAGGAGAAGGAGGAGGAGAAGCGGCAGCGTTTGGAGAACTCCATTGCCGTCATTGCCTCATTGCCTCATTGCCTCACGAGGAAAAGGAGCAGAAGGAGGAGGAGGAGCAGAAGGAGAAGGAGGAGGAGGGGGAGGATGAGGAGCACAAGGAGAAGGAGAATGAGGATGGGGGAGGAGGAGGAGGAGGAGGAGGAGGAGGAGGAGGAGGAGGAGAAGGAGGGGGAGGAGGAGGAAGAGGAGGAGGATCGGAGGACGCGGGGCCCGCGGGGGCGGAAGAGCCCTTGCGCGCCGAGGGGCGCGCCAGGTCCAGCTTGTGCTCGCTGAGGGCGCCGGACGCGCCCTCCTCCAGCTTCTCCACGCGGTGGCCGAGCAGGGCAAGGCACCTCGCCCGCGCGGGAAGCGTCCAACCTTACGTAGCGTCCATATTTGATTTGAGGTCGTCCTCAAGTTCTTCGTCGCTGAATTTCGCGTCGCGGCGCTAAATTGAGAGGTTCAGGTCGTCGTGGCGTCGCCATCAGGACGTCGTGCGCAGAAGACGGGCAGCGCGCTTCGCTGTAGCAGAGGGGGTCCCCACCTCCTCAAGGAAAACCCATACAGAAAGAGGGGTCACCACATTCCCCAGGAAGCGGGCCGTCTGGACCCCCCGTGAGCCTCCAGCACTTCCAGGGCAGGGCACCTCGCCCGCACGGGAAGCGGGGGTCCACCGGGAAGACCACTCAGGGTTGTGGATGCCACGACAATGGACACCCTAACAGTCCTATCATTGAATTTAACACGTGTTTGAAATGTCAGAAAATGTTATAGTCATGTTTTAAGTATGTTGTTTACATGCTTAAAAAACATATCTAACACATGTTTGAGACATCTGGCAACTGTTTGGCAACATGCTTCCTCTCCATTGATCGTCCTCCACAAGACTAAGGGGGTCACCAGCTCCACCAGGAAAACCACTCATAAGGGGTCCCCACCTATACACCAGAGGGGTCACCACATTCCCCAGGAAGCGGGCCATCTGGACCCCCCCTGAGCCTCCAGCACCTCCACGGAAGCCCGAAAACGTCCAGTGCCACAACCGCTGGGCCGAGGGAATCACCCTGGGGGCTCCCCAAGGCCGGCCCCCACTCCCCTGGCGGTGACGCCCTGCGGTCGGCGCACGATTTCGACTGTCGCTCGCAGGTCTCGCAGCCGCAGGGTCGGGGTCGGCCTGGGGGGGGGCGCCAGGGACGACTCTCTCAGCCCAGCGGCTGTAGCTGCCCCTTCCTCGCACATGAAGGACAAGGAGACGGAGGAAGAAAGCCGGGACGTGGAGCCCAGCACGCTCCCACAGCGGCGATGTGATGTGTTCCGCCGCGGCGGTTTTGCACGTTCGGCATTCCTGGGGGTGGGGGCGCTTTTCGGGCGACGGGGACGTCAACGTTGGACCCCAGGGGTCGGGCTCTATGGGGCAGCGGATCGAAAACCAAAAAAAACATCTTCGAATGTCTGGGTACTGGGGCAGCCGCAGCTCCCAGACGCGCTCCACGTGGCTCCCTGGACCGGGTCAGCCAGAGGGGAATGGTTGACCCTCGTTAGCGCTGACCACGAAGGACCCGAGAGGGCCCCATGACCTCTCCAAACGAGCCCTAAGACGGCTCCGAAATGGCCCCGAGGGACCCTAAGGGGACCCGAAGTACAGCACAGAGGCCATGCGCCAGCCTTGGGCACGTCGCTTGGGCACCACTGCCGTCAGTGATCTGGGTTTCCGGCAGGACGCGCGGGCAGAAGAGTGCACAATCGGCACCCTTTCAGGACAAATGCTGCCAGAGAGACGGCGTGTATATCCAACTGTGAAGCAGCAGCAGAAAACGCACGAGGACTGCGAATCAGACAGACGGAACGCCCGACTGTGAAGAAGAAAAGCGACGCGCCCCACGACTGTGAAGCACGAAAGCAAACATATGACACGAATTCGAAACGCAAAGAGGAAGGAAGAGGAGGAGGAGGAGGAGGAGGGGGAGGAGAAGGAAGAGGAGGAGGACGACGACGACGAAGACGAGGGGGGAAAAGGACTGCCGCCTCTAACCTTTTTACTGTAATAGTATTAATATACACACGCAGTGGGCCCATTTTAGCTTGGGGCGGCCGCGTGTCCGGAACAAATGCCACTGGTTTGGTGCATGTGTTCCAGGCCCGCACACCAAAGACTTCAAATAGCTGTTGTCTGGCAGCGCAGAGTTTTTCTCATAGGACTGCGTTTGCCTCTTGCGCAAGGCCTCGCTTAAACGATCCGCCTGCGCTGCACTCAGAACTGCGGCGTTCGACACCCTGGAATAATTAAAATATTGGACCCCCATATTTTTCATAGACAAAATGCTCGGAAGCCGGCCGCCCTTTGTCGGCTTGCTTGGAATAGCCACGATGTTTCCAAATTGTACAATAATTTCGGCACACCTATAACATCGAATAACCGCACTTCTCGTGATTTTGAAATACCCGTATGGTTCCAGCATTTGGTCAGTCAGCCGTCCCGTAACTTCTGGATTGCTTTCGGCACTGCTGTACAAGTTCGTTCGTGCCGTAGGCTGTGGCAGCCCATGGGCGTGCATACTGGCATACCGGCACATCAACCATCAAAGCAAGCATTTCGCATTTGGTGGCGCCACATGGAGGCCCCCTCCTCCTCCTCTCCCTGGCCCCCCCCCCTCCTAGGCCCGAAAGCTTCTTGCGAGGGCCGCGGGCCGATCGCGCATTCGCCGCGTCCCAGCGTCGCTCCTTCCAGTCTGCGGACGGGCCAGGCCACCGCGCGCGCGGCGGGTCTGTCGCGGGGGCAGGGAGATGGCCGCGTCGATTTCTGTCGCGGTCTAGAATCATCTGAGTCTCCTCTCCGCCGGCAGACTGTCTGAAATAGCAGCGCGTAGCAACGTGGATTTACTCGTGCTTCAGGGCACCTGCATCAGGGAATGGCTGGGTAGAAAATATGATCTCGAATATCTTGCACATTTTCGCGCATCGATTCGCTATGGGCGGGCCAGGGGGCCGCTTTCGAACGCGCGCGCAAGGTGTTGCATAATACTAAGTCGATGCAATCGTCCATGTCATGCGGAGAGCATCGCGATCGCCCCCGCAGCAATGTTGGGACATTCTTCTGACATCGCCATCCCGAGCGCGCGCCCGCCTCCAGCGGGCCCGTCGGGGCCTCGGCTGGCGGCACAGGACATGGCCGCGGAAGCGGTGGCGAACTTGTTTCGGTGATCGGGTCTCTCGGGCACGGGCGCGCCGCGCCCTTATCTGCGGCTTCGATGCGACTTCGGAGTTAGTCTTGGATGATCAACTCCCCCCGCGCGATGAAGATGGCAATCCTTTAGGTGGCTTCCACCTGGGCAAGAACGGGATAGCAGGATAAATTCTTACCCAGACACTGTTGCATTTCGAGCCAATGGCGCCTCGCACCTATCATCGCCAGGCGGCCCCGACATATCATGGGGCGGCGGGGGCGCCAACGCCTTGGACATCATCGCTATTTCGAGCATCGTAGGGCCACGCATAACTGGGCGTCGCGTCGCGCGGCGCGCGGGGCGAGGGCAGCGACTGAACCCCGGTGCACGTCCTCATGGCCATTTTCTACTTATCCTTGAACCTCGTCTTCTCACCTTCACCTCGCGCCCCTCTCCTCCCGGACAGCGGCCCGGGGCTGCAGCGAGCTGGCGCGGGCTCTCCAGCCGGGGGAGGGGCGCAAGGAATTCCACGAGGACTTAGAGATGAAGGTGGAGAGGAGGGGGGGGGGAGGGGGTATTGGGGGAGGTGCCACTATTCTGAATGGTTGGATTGCGCGCGCTCTCTCGCCGCCCAGCACTGCTCGGGCTCGCGCGCGCGACGCAGCGCGTCGTGGGCCCAGCGCAGAACGCGCTCGTCTGACGCGTCTTCGACGAGCCCGTCGCTGGTGGTCTTATCTGTTCCGGGAACGTGACCGGCGCATGCCAGAGGCACCCGCCGAACATCTCGAATGCACAGCACAACTCAAGCAAAACGCGTGCGCATTGCGGCGGCAACGGCGCGCTGCTCTTGCCCGTCGCCGCCTCGGTGCAATTGAGCGCCCGAAGGGAGCTCGACCGCGACTGGCCCGGGCGGGGGCTCTCAGACTGGCCCGCGCGCGCTCGTTGCCTTCTTTTGACTACCTACCAGACCACCCCAACCCAACCCGAAGACCCGAATTTGACCCGAATTTCGGGTTGGGGGGGGTACGGATACCATGTGTTTTTTCAACGTTCCCCGACCCCCCCCCACTGGAAATCGATGATAAATTTGGGCCTTCGGGTTGGGTTGGGGTGGTTTGGTGGGTGGTGATCTTTGCCCGCGCGACAGCTCGGCCGCTCACCGCGACCTGCTCACAGCCCCCCGCGCCTCCACGCGGGCGCGGGCGGCCCCCGAGCGCGGCGGCGGCGCGGCAGAGGCCATTTGAGTCGCCCCGCCGAGCGACCTCCAGAACAACGGCGGCCTCTCGGCGCCCAACCTCCTCCTCCTCCTCCTCCCCTCCTCCTCCTCCTCCTCCTCCTCCTCCCTCCTCCTCCTCCTCCTCCTCCTCCTCCTCCTTCTCCTCCTCCTTCTCTTCCTCCTCCTCCTCCTCATCCTCCTCCTCCTCATCCTCCTCCTCCTCCTCCTCGCCTCTTCGGGTTCGGCGCGCAACGCAGGGGCGCCGCGCAGCGGGCGTAGGCCGCGACGCAAACGGGGCAGCACCTGCAATCCACTTCCAACGCTCCCTGGCTTGCCAATTGCTGCCAGTCGCCGAGTCTCGCGCTGCGAGTAGGCCCCGCGCGCGAGACAGAACAACAGCAAAGCCTTCTCGCCACCAACTTGCGCACCAGCCAGCTCGCGGCCATTTTCAAATGCAGAGACGAACAATTCGGCCACGCGCCCTGGGAAGCCTCCGCAGCCCAGCCCTCCTGCGGGCTCCCTCCATGAAACTCAAGACATCGGGCGCGTCGGCGACCCCGAGGCGCGGGCTCTAAGGAGCGCCGGGACGCCGCCTTGTCGAAGATCCCCCTGGGCGGGGTCTTCCAGGGGGCCTTTGGCGCGAGGCCCTTGGAAAACACGGCAAAACAGCGGCCACTCTGGCCGCCCACTCAACTTGGCGCGCAACGTGCTTGAGCTGTTTACACTCGGCCTCAGACGGCCAGGGGATCTCTATCGCCGTTTTAGCCTCGAGATCCGCCCTCCAGTTAGCCTGGCCCACGCTTCGATCGGGCTGCGGCAGCGCATCTATGCCCCCCAGATCCCCGCGCGCAGGCGCAGGCCCCACAACTTTGAGCGGGCTTGGAAACGGGGGGCTCGCGCGCTGGAGAGCGCGCTCCAGATGGGTGCGCACGTCGTCGAGGGCCCCCTGAGTCCTCGAAGGCTGCTCGATCCG